AGCTTCCATAGACCAGGAGGTTCCAAGTTGGTCTTGGACACTCCCAGGGATGGGAAATCCATGGAATTTGCTGGACCGGGCTCTCACAGGGAACAATTCCTGCCCCAAAATCCCACCCAAATTCCCCCTCAGTGCCCCTGACCCCATTCCCTGTGTCCTGTCCCCGCAGTTCCTGAGGAAAAATCCCTCTGGAGATTCCCTGGAGATGCTGGCAGGGGGTCTGGGGTCTCCACAGCCTCAACATTCCCAAAATTCTCAACATTCCCAACCTGGATCCACATTGAGCTCCAATCCCCTGAGCAATTTCATGGCTCGGGGACACCAGAACCGGGCACAGAATTCCCGGTGGGATCTCCCCAGAGCAGAGCAGAGCAGAGGGGGAGAATCAACCACCAGCACCCAAAAAGGAAGAAATTTTAGGATTTATTTGGGTTGATCCCCCTGGATTTCTCCTTTTGCCCCTTTTTAGGTTGGGACAGGGGTGGTTTCCAAGGGTTTTGGGATTCGCTGTCGGGATGTGACACCTCTGTCACCCTTTGGTGCCACGTCAAGTGAAACCAGGTGTGGTCAGGGCAGGAGCAGCTCCCGGGGTTTTGGGGTTGTGGCCCCACAATTTTTTTTTTTTTTTCCTAATCCTGGTTTTGCTTTGGGTGAATCCTTTCGACTAAAAATTCCAGGGGGTTGGGGAAACTCAGGGAAACCCCGGAAAAGGCTCCCTTACCCTGAGAGTTACCAATGGAAAAAAAAAAACGGAATAAAACTGAAATTTCTGGCGACAGAATTCTCAGGGCTATTCCAAACCCCACTGCTCAGTTTGTAGCTCCATGGAAGGGCAGGATTTTGGATGGGGGGAAAGGTCATTTCTTGAGGAAATCTGGGAATATTGTCGGGTATGGAAAATGTGGAGACTCAACAGGAAATTTAATCCGTGAGTGGCTGGAGAGGGAGGAATCTGGACAATAAATCTGCTGAAGTTGCAGCCAGACCTCTGCATCATCTGGAGCTGCCCTTGGCCATTCCCAGCTTTTCCAGGGGTGATGCACGGATCCCCTCCCTGACCTGGCTCACCCCAAACCTCGAATCCTCCTCACTCAGCAGCGCTGATCCCGCGGATTCCCTACAAATTAGACGTGGATTTGTCCTGAAAAAAATCCCAGGTGACTCCACCTGGACATTTCCCGAGGCTGGGGGTGTTTCCTTGGCCACGAGGATGGGAAGGGAAGGAGCTCTTCCCATTCCCGAATTCCATGGGAAGGTGCCTGGGATGGGAGTCACGGGAGTCGCTGTGGGTCAATAATGGGAGAAATTGCACAATTCCCTTTTCCTCGGAAAAAGCAGGGGTGGGATCCCAGCTATGTCAGCACCTCAGCGTTGACGGATCAAGCTCTGAGCAATCCGTGAGGCAATCCCAGAAGCAGGAAAAATGTAATAATAAAAATAGGGGAGGGGGGAGGGAAAAA